TTGAAGAAAACTGGACGATAAAGCGCTTTACATGTGATACAGTGTACAAACAAGATGACTATTTGCTGGATAGTGACTGCCGAAAATTAAAAGTGACTGACGCGTACGACCTAAGTCAAAAGACAATGAAATCATGCAATGACATTTGCTACCTATTAAAACAAACTTCGTGAAACATGTGATCCTTCTTACCAAATTTCGGGTGTTTTTGGATTCTGGGTGCGAGCCTTCTCGAGAATGGAACGGGCCTTTGTGATGGAACCGCAGCGCTCCTCAAATGCTGCCATTTGCAGCCACAGGGAAGTGCATGTAGGGTTGTGAGTTACCTAAACGGATTGCAAGGGAAACCCGGATGAGAATGGAAGCAGGATTTGATAGTAAGAAAAAGAGAACAAACATTCGGTAGCAGACAACAGACAAGATAACAAAATATCAACGATTACGTGCAATATGGGTTCATAACTGGCACAGATAATTTTTGCACAGAGAGCATTATACAATCGCATGGGTAATAGTTTATTATGTGATTAAACTTAGCTGGGTGCATTTTTGACATGATATTTGATTCCCGAGGTTTCAACGGGAATGCTTATGATCGGAAACGTTGCTCATTAACATCTGTTCGCGTCCCATCAGACAACGGGTGGAGTTGCAACAAAAAGCATTAAAACGTCAACTGTCCTAATTTACCATGATTTCTAATATATTTACTATTCCTGGAGCTTTGTGGAGAGCGTTGATGCGCTTCGAAACACTCTGCAAACAATGAACATCGTGCTTTTGAAAAAGATCATCCCGCTAATTTCCCCATGGAAACAAGGTAACAAGCTTGCTCAGGTCTAAGTAACTCTCGAGCCTAATAACAAGTGCTATTGCTTCTTCACATGACCTGATTGTGGCTGATGACTTATTCCCACTGGATGGCATATATCTGATGAGGATATTAAAACGCATATTAGTCCTGCACCTTGGTATAACCAGAGTATAATCAGCACGTTCCCGGATCGAATTGTGCCACAGTTCCAGCGCAGACAAATCGGTGAAGCTGGATGTACAGCAGTGTCAAGCTACATTACAATCTTCGTGGCCAATAGGGTATGAGCTGGAGTTGCTGGCACCGCTCCCGAAAGACGTTCGATAGACGACCGCTGTTGGTTTACTGGAGCTGTTCTATCAGACTCCGCATGCCGAAACCAATTATACCGCAATACTCTAGAATGGGACGGGATTGTAAACAGTTTAATTCGGACTGTGGTTGTACGAATCTTTTAAGGCATATTAGCCACAGATTGTCTGGCCCACGCTATCTGGTACTAAGCCTGTTCGGAAAAGCTGAAAGTAACAGAGAACCGAATTCCGAGATTGCTGGGAGACGGTTGTTGGATCCAATAGATCATTTGGAAACCGAACAAGAATGAGACATGTCCGGTTTTTTACGTCGCGAACTTCTTCATTCACGTGTTACACCGTTTCAAGAAAGGGAAAGTTCCGTTGAGAGTTTAGAAAAGAGGACTTTGTCAGGAACCACGTGACAAAGGCGCCGGTGACGAGCGTTTTAAAGGGCTAGATATTTCTTAAAGGAAAACATAAAGGCATCAGCAGCACGACGGTACACAGTATCGACGCTTTGCTACCACGCAACCACCACCAAATACACATGGGCTATGGATATTGGGAGGGTCATTCAGTCCCAACGCAGGCGCGAATCCGCGCGTTCGAATTACAAGATAGGCTTTTGATGCTTAAGGCTACGGGCCGGCAAGTAAAACACGTTAAAGACAATTATAATAACTTAAAGCCGTGAGCTATGTGCACGACAAAAAAGCAAAATATTTTCAATATGCGTACAAGTCACTAAAGGCGATCATAACTTACAGAAAGAAGCCACATCCACAATAAGCAAGTGACGGGGCGTATTCGGATTAGACGAAAAACGTGGTCAACTTCCTAGCCTAATGCCCATAGGAATGTGAGAAAACACGGTTGCAAAGAGGTCACTTTTCGGTAACTCACATCAGGCAATTACGTGTACAAGGATGACTTAGATACGCAAAAGCTAATGAAAGCTGAAACGAAAGTAGGAGAGAGTCTGAATTTAGTCGAAAGGAAGTTAAATTGATCGCGCCAAATGGTAAAGTGTGTGGTGTTGATGAAAACTGATCTTTTGTGACCCCACTTGACACAATTCGCTGACCACTTCGCGAAGCAAATCGGGTCAGCCGAGAAGTAATGCCACCTTTGATCTAATCAATGTTCCATGCGGGTGGATACGGCAGCGTGAGAGATTGCAGTCGCATCCGCTGCCTGCAAAGCTCCGGTTGCGTTAACTTGATCGCTATCGATTCCGCAAGCTTAAGGAGGCGTTTTTTAACCCTATTAGGATATCGTTTTGACACAGTGTAGGACGTCATCACCTCGTAGACTAACCACTGTCAGTGACGGTGGAAGACAGGTGGGTGCTATATCCCAGTCAGTTTGCAAATTATGTAGCCCAGCCAGCGTCCCCCGTGGCTCAGTGGCTTAAGCTGCTGGCTAGTTGGCATCTGCCTCTAGCGGTCATTGGTTCGATCCTCCTTAGAGGGCTGAGGGAATGCGCACCACTGATGAGCCCCAATAGGACGAAACGCGTCTGGTGCTTTTCCGGACTAGGCTGTTCTAGCTTGTGAACTACTATGATGAAAACCTTAAGAAAATTACAGTGTGGAAAAGGTTGAAAGTATCATTGGTCAGAATTTCGTGTCCACTTTGAACAAGATGTTCAAGGATGGAACTTATGATAGTTCCGGCAGTGCCTTTTCGTAGAGACCCGGGACAGTGCTCAGTTATCCTTGTCGACAGACACATGGTCGTATGTCCGAGGTACTTGGCACCATAGGGGCAAGTAAAGTGTTATACCACGTACGATTCGGACTTGGCCGGTAACCTGTCTTTAAGGCGCTGAGTAATAAATGGAGTGGTCTCAGTAAGGCCGTGTGGATTTGCGGCTGGTTATGTTTTTGTCACTGCAGCGGAAAGTGTTCTATTCCGTAAATCGAAAGCCATGTCAACCTTAAACTTCCTTCTGAATAAACTCAGAAACTCTCCAACTTTCGTTTCAGATTTTATTAGCTTATACGTATCCAAGTTACCCTTGTAAACCCGATTGTTGACGGTTTCCGTTAGCAACCAGCAAAAACCGAAACATGCTTTCAAATGAGTAGTTCAACCTGACTTATGTGGATGAAGAAAAAATGGTTTACAAGACATGCGAGCTCGAGTAGACCTGCGTGATTCAAGGTGGGTGGCCTTGGATCGCGTAGAAGGGATGGACCGCACATCGTTCCGTCAAGAAGTATACGGATTCATATTTCAGGTAAATAAAGTTTGGAGGATTGAATATCAAGTTCCTTTGAGTCGGGTATCGGATCGTTTGTGAATGGCCAGTCGGTAATCGCAGCCAAATGATATTGATGTTGTCTGGCGCACAGTTGGAGGTGTGTAGAAAACTTCACCTTCAGGATTTGTGAATAGGTGCATGGGAGAATTGTGGCTGTATAAAATGGCAAGTAGTTCGTTTGCTTGTTTTGGCGAGTCGCGAGTAAGCAGTGCCGTAGGTCAATAAACATACAACAAAGAGTAGTGGATACGCATGTATCAAAAGGAACCAACGGAAGTGGAGAACATATACAGAGGTAACGGCACTTCGATGGACTATTAAGAGACGACCGAATCACACTCACTGAGGCTAATGCGGAGCCGCAGTTAAGAAAAGACAAGAAGAACTATTGAAGCTATCCGACCGGAGCGGCTAATTCGATTCAAGGGGGTAACATGGAATTGGGTACGGAGCCAATGGTAGTGTTTAAATTGAGCTAGTCCCAGCATACTACTTATGGGATACACAGAAAAACGAACCGTGAGCGAAATGTCTTTACTCTCTGAACACGGTGCCCGATAACAAACAGAAGGATCAGTAACCCCATATCAACAATACTAGTTCAGAAAATTCGGGAAGAAAAGTGTGAAGACAGCGCCAGTCAATAAACCAGGTGAAAGATTCATATATGGAGATAGCGGATATCGATTCAATCAGGCATGTAGGTAGACATACGGATTGGGGTTGACACAAAGCAAACAAAACCAAGCAAACAGAAATGCAGCGTGAAGGGCGATACAACGGACCAGTGTCCCCCAGGAAAACAAACATTGTCATAACAGTAATACAACGACCATTTGAAGTGATGTTTCGCTTGCATACAACCACAACGACAAAAGAGGTAGTGGAGGTTGACTTACCGGTAAACCTTAACGCCCTAAACCAACAACCAGGGCCAAGAAGCCTACAAATTGTCAACAACATACCATCACAAACAGCTGACTATCGTGCAAAGATAAGGCGGCATCAGCAAGACAGCTTCCTTGCGGCTTTCACTGCCCCGCGCCATAATCAGCCATTACCCCGCAGATGATTCAGCAATAAACAGGTAGTGCGACTGGGAGACCGCAGCAGACGCGCCAGTGGTGTCGACTGAGAAGCAGTTCCTGTAAAGTCTCAAGCCAAGCACAAGATGGGTCACGTGGACTCCAGCCTGGAAGGCGAGACGGATCGACGACATCCAGTTTGGTCATCAGTGGTCGTCGCAACGAGACTGGACCTTAACGTACCTTAACTTGTCTTGTCTCTTGAGAGCTACTTCTACCAGATTGATCAATGGTTAGAGGTCAGATAAACACATCATCCTGGTTCTCCAGGTTAGGGGGTTTGAAAATATGGTGGCATCCATTTTTGTTAAAGTAAATCACTGCCACCTCCCCGCTACCTTGGGGAAAGGCTTTTCAGCCAAAGACTTTGGCGGAGGACCCTAATCGTCCTCCTGTCCAAGTCTGGGTGCCCTGGCAGTATTTTAAGCCACGTACAACCATGCCAATTTTTTCACACTTAAACGACATCCTGAATCTCCCGTCGCGCAGATCATCAAGGGAAGCCACACGTAATCATTCAGTGTTATCGGCTTACATACAGTAATAGGCTGTAAAGTGGGACGGCACTTCAGAAAGCCATTCATGCCTTGTGCAAGGAAAAAGCACCACCAGACTACGTGCAGCTTCTTTGGAGCAGGATTATCAATAACGCTGGAAAACAATGGTCAAAGATGTTTTGGAAGTCCAACTGAATAATCCGGTGGAAGGTTCCATACACGTCAAGAGAGAAAGCAGATCGCACTTCTTGGTAAGAAGCCAATTTGCTTACGTTTGTGAGCTAGTAGTTTCGTTCTGCGCCTTGTTTTACAACACTAATAGATTAGATGACTAGTGAAGTCATCCAGTACATCCGATAAATGAGGCAGGAGGGTAATGCCAGGTGGTGAAAAACAAATGGCTGAGTGAGTCATACAGCCGCCGTAACGCGGAAACAATTGATTCGAGGAGCGTAATTCAAGAGTGGCATACAGGAACATGTAAGATCATTAGGTGACATTCCAGTCGGCAGTTATGCTATGATAGTTTCAGAGAGTGGCATCTCAGGTTGACGTTACTGCCAGGATACAAGTAAGAGTAGCATACATGAAATGAAATGTGCAGGATCAGTCAAATCAGGTAGTCTAGTGATACTGATAGAATTGAAGACTGGTAGCTCAGGTTGTTCAGATGGCAGTTGAACTGTTCGCTGAGCTTGGCAATTGGGTTGCATACGTTTCGTCACCAATCGAGGTGACATCATCAGTGCGTAGTTGAGTGGCGTGCAGTAGCGTAGAATTGCGTACAGGAGCCTCGGTGAGAGCGCGCTGAGCGTGGTGTGCGTGTTTTTATACCGCCGTGGTTGCCTGTGAAGGCGAGCAATCCTATTGGTTGGGATTTCGATCCGCCTTCAGCCTGGTTGATGGGCAAATGACCTTTGACCTTGACTCCTTGTGCTTCGTGGGATTTATCTGCTTGCGCTTGTGAACGAGACTGTCGTCAGTTCTGGTTGGCTAGGCACACGTTCCACCGGATCCAATCGATTGAGTTGGCGATCTTTCGCCAGTAGTGTTGCGTATACTGCGTCCAGTTCGATGTGTCGATTGAATGAATTCGCTGTAGAGTATCAGGCTTCCAAAAACTTCCTGGCGTGTTGTGTGCCTCCATGTGCTAGGATCTGGAGAATGTTAAGATCCCAGCACTGACCCCTGAAGAACCCTAGTTACGCCGCAGTGGATTAGCTGCCGATCAACGATCGTATCAATCCTTCCAAATGTTGGTTTCATCAACAAGAATCGTAAAATTCTAAGTGATGATGTGCGCGACATCATCGTCATAGCAGAAACAGGCGTGGACTTAACACTGAGCACTATGGCATGCCTCATTCACGTTGGATGAGATCAGGGAGAGACGTTCGAAATAAAACTACTAATTGCCGCTGAATGGGGAAGTCAGCGGTTCAATGGAACAGAGTATCGCTGACACAGTAAAATGGAGCTTAAAAAAGAGGAATCGATTATCCACGCGGTTGAACATTTTGTTCAATCCAAGCACATCACATCAACGTCTTCTCTAGTGTTGGCTGACTCAGCTCAATAGGTACAGATTTGAACAGCGCAATCAGATGAACACTGGTAAATGCTAGCATCTTATCGGAACCAATAAAATAACTGGGATATCCTTAAATATGTATCAAAGAGTATAACCAAGCCAAACACGTTCAGGGTTGTGCTCAGTGGCGTAAGGAGCACGGCAAAGCTGATCTAATTCGGGCTATCGCGACGGTCTCGGCAAACCGCAAAAGACGTGAATTTGTATGATGCAACAACATTCGAAACGCCGATAAGGGATTAATCAGATGAACAGTCGCTAAAATGTGCCTGACTATGGATGACGTCAGCGGCTTAAGCAACCATGTTCGGAAGGGAATTGACTAACTTCGCGCTGAACCTCGTTTGGCAAATAGTACTTCACTCTGGAATCCAAAGCAATAGCGATACTGTCGATGTGTCAGACAGACTCCATAGCTACACACCGATTAGTAAGTGCAATGTGAGTTGGCGCAAATGGGTTCATCTTCCTTTAGCGAAGATAACTTTCGGGTTCTGTTGAGAAGTACCGCATCCGCAGCACAGTAGATAAGCTGAATGACCGAAACTAGGCGTTTACTGGTGATTCTTTCGGTGGCGTTACTCTTGGATGGTACCTGTACATTTGCCTTCTCCCTAGTGCCGTCAACACCGTTACTTTAAACGGTCTAACCTAGCCGTAATTTGCAATGAATCACTTTGGATAGGCCCATTCTCCATGAGTGTTATGGTGATGAACTCAATTGCCTCAGCCAGGCAATCATTCGAGCAGATATATCTGGCACGAGTAAACAGTGCTCTTATGAACACGCGCTTGTGTGCAATCGGTGAGAAGTTGGCAAAATGTCTGTTGGCTTCCGGTACACAGATCCCTTAATGAGCTCATTATCCTGGCGACTGATGAGCACGTCAAGATATGGAAGACGTACATTTGATATGAATTCACAGGTCCTAGTTTGCCTATCTGTTAATTCATACAAGCAACGAGAGAAAATCCAGCCCAACGAGTCAAATGGTGTTGCAAATTACCAAGAGCGAGTGCTGTTGGCTTTATGTCGTAGTAATGTGGGAAAATCAGCCGATAAGCGTTGGTTTAAAAAATTGATAACGCAAAATAATCTATTAGACAATAACTTGGCAAGAAGCTTTTTAAAAAAAACTGGTAAAGTGGAACTCTCAAGGACTTACGCCATCCCGGTATGCAGAACGAGCACGTTCCATGTAAGATCGTGTGTCGTCAGTAGAGACAGAGTCTTGATTCGCGAGATCTTCCAAAACCTGTCCGAGCATAAGCCACAGTTTAGGTGCCTGGCGGTAGATTCCAGTGGCTTCTTCAAGCATACGCAGTGCCTCCGCCAACTCACCTAAACACCACTCCAGGCGAGCGGACTTCATCCAAACTCGTGCCGTTGAAGCGGACGCACGCGCTTTGGCCAAGAGACGCCTGGCTCGGGCGTATTCGCTATTTTCCGACTCCAACTTGACTGCAGCTAGCCAGATCTCTTCTGAGTTCGGATTCGCCTCGAATGCTCGGGCAAGTATTGACCGTGCGGCAGGTACATCACCCTGAAAAGACAGTAAACGTGTGCGATGACTAAGGACAGCGTGACTTCACGTAAACACAATGTGTACAAATGTGAAACTGAAAAAACTCAAAGAGGAAGAAAGCATGTAACCGCGGATAAATCCAAGGTACTCGAGTCACGGATAGGTTCCATTATTATAACCTTCAAATCAAAAGGAAGCAAGCCGATAAATAAACACAAAATCAGATTAATAACTGACTGGGTGTGATTCGGGCGGAGAAGGTAGACTGCGTTCTGTCACAAACCAAAGAAAAGTTATTAACAAAACGGAACTTCGGTTTGTGCAAACACTGTGCATGGGCTGATAATGGTCGCGATTATTGTCCATTAAGTCGCAGTCAGACACTTGGAGGGAACAGACAGGATAGGCTGAATGTCTCATTCTTCATTTTACAGTACCCGATCACAATCTCAACCTATTCCATGCGACGTATACCAGGAGTCAGACGAATCATCGTGGAACGCAGTTGCATAACGATGGGCCGCATAATGAGGTAAAGATCACCACAGAAAGAAGCTGATCGCATAAAGCAACAAAAGATGCTCCTATAATGATAATGTACTAAATGGAGTGGCGGTCATCGGAATGGCATTAATCACACTGATTGATCGTATTCAGCACTCAGCTAACAAAGCTAAACCGCACCGCGTTCTAGACTCTAAGGGGACGCATATTCCTGTCGTGCATTCGGAAACAAATTGAACAGCCAAAGTTATCATACAAGCATAGGCATAGTTATTCTCCTTATCTTGTGTAAAAAAGAAGAAAAACGTAAACCACCGCAGATTGAAAGCATTGGGCAAAACGTATCCTGTCTTGGAAGCGTGAAGGCATTTCGTCCCATGAAAACGAATCCGTGATTGTTTGAGGATTCTTCGCAGTGGCTTCGAATCAAACAGCCTCCCCCGCATAGGAGAAAAAATATTAGCCGGCAGCTTCGTCCTATTGGGATTGTTCGGCAGTCCGCAACTTCCAGCTCCCACAGCAACCTAACACACGACCCTGATGCCAGTGACCTATACCACTAGGCCAAGGGTGACGGTTATACATACACTATCGAGTTTGATAGGAACCAACTGGTCGTAGCGCCCGTTTCGCTGTCATTACTACTAATTAACATCCGGAAAATGTGTTGTTCGGTGCGCACGGAATCAGTCATCGCACTCGTGCTCCGTATCAAGTTCGCACACAATGGATTTGGCTTCGCTTTAGGTAACCGAGTCAGAAAGTTCTTCACGTATCAAAAAAGCATAAGTTGGTCACTTCGACCTGTTGGGACTGGTAAGTAGTGCGCAGTTTATTTGATGAAAAGTTCCAACAGGACAATAGTTCAAGAAGAGTTAAAAAGGTAAATGGTCTCAAGAAGCAATGAAAAGTCAGAGTAAAGGAATACTGGCAGGGGTGATACTGTCCAACCCATTCACGCACTAGACATATCAGCCAACCATGAAGTCCAAACCACTTTCCCGCTCTATCTATTGGCCACTTTGGGGCTTTATCCACCAATGCAGCCAAAGAGGATGTAGACTAACTAGTGCAAGCGGACGGAATTCAAGATGCCCCAATGCAGCGTCAGATGTTCTGTTACCAGACAACGAGTGAAAAACTTCAGTATTATTTTAACTGGTGCACCTACCGGATAGCAGCAACATTTTGCAGGTAACGGTGGTCAAAGAGGGCAAGTGGCTTCCGGACCTAGTGGCCACATCTTTGATTTGCCGGAACCCACTTGAACTTAAGCAAGAGTTATGGTCACAGGTAGCGACTCGGAATCGCAAGCATAAAAGCGTGAAGAGAAGTGAGCTTCTCATGAAAAAATACACTTTGTGTGTGGGAGAGGGTACAACTCACAGCCAACCAGCGTGTTTTCGCTGCCATGAGCCAAAGAATTTCCGCTTGTGGACAATGAGTAACGGCTTGACGCAGCAGTTCCTCTAACGTGCCTCTGAAAAAGGAAAACATAAGTGCAACGAAAACTGCTGTACTGAGTATGGTAAACCAACGCAGGCAAACTGAGTCAAAGTAACGGGAGGACATCACATTTGGAAAATGTTTGGAAGAATAGGAAAAATGAAGTAGATGAATCTTAGAAGGATGTACGCAGTACACGGACGTAACACATGCAAAACCGAGACGCTGCAACTAGGTTATAGTCCAGTGACTGGTTAATTATCATTGCATGGTTGAACTATTCAAATAGTGACATGGATTCACGTGATTCAATGATGGGGAGGTGGTGAAGTGCCGACCAAATGTCGGATGGCTTAGATGCCTGACTTTTAGTTCAAACTTCCCAGGTTCGGTTCTGCAAAGGCGCTGGTGACTCAGCAGTATCCCTAAACCGTACGCAACTGCTGGTGGTCGCTCGGCAGCGAACTGTGACCAGGATGTACCGGCGCACTGCTCATGTCCACAAGTGGTAGAATGAAGGATTAGTATAAACATGACAAAGCTTGTCTAGTCCCTATCTCGCTGATTCAACTGACATGTAGTAAAACCGTTAACATTGTCCCATTAATGAGTGATGGGTGAATACCAATCCACCACAAAATAAACGTACAACTTGATGGCGCTTGCTGCATCAACAGTCTTCGGGAAGAATGTGACGTAGCCCGGGAGACAGAATGCTCTACCCTGTGAGACGTTCGTACCGCTCAAGGATCCCCTAATGTTGCAACACTGACGCAGCATGAGCACGGCTCATGTTACCTCGCAGTATTAGTGACCTCCTAATATTGTCTTCGTTCCCCTTTCTCTGTGCGCGATTGAATACTTACAAGGTCAGACCATCACTGCGCGTAACATGCAGATATCACCACTCATGAATTTGTGTGGCATCCCTTTTGATTGGTCAATTACCTTAATTCAGTGTCCAGTATAAGCCACGGCGCATTGAGAAGTCGCTAGTTTGCTCGACGTGTGAGTTGAAGCTATAAGTGTTAGCTATTTTGTGTGAATTCAAAGTTGCTGATTGGGACTTGCGCTGGAAGCACGTGTCACTGAGGTACTGTATAGTATGTGATCATAAATGTTTGTAAATAGTACCACTAACTAGTGTTAGACTTGTTGGTTTGCTTCCGGTGGAAACGCGTTCGCTCAAAGCCTCCAAGTGTTTTGTCGCTAACAGTCAGAATGAATTAGTAACGCTTTTTACGTCTGGCATGCAAGAAAACTATAAACACTGTCATATGAATGAGCGACTAGTGAATGTTGATCCACCAAGGGTCCATCGGCCACAAAATAGGTGTACAAATTGGTGACGCTCGCTGCATCAACAGTCGCCGCGGAGGGTGTGATGTATCCCGGATGTTGTAACGTTATTAAACAACCGAAGAATAGTGCGCTTTGATGCAGCGGGGGCTGTTTCCGAATCAAATGTCACTCTTATCCCCGTGCGAACAAACTCAGATAGAATCACTTGGACAGATGAGTTATGCGTGGACGGTGAGTAAAGTAGCCTTCCCGAGGGCACATATGCCATATGAGTATTCACGGCCAAACGGACAAAGAAAACTGGAAAGTGGTCCTGCTGACCACATCAATACTTCCGGTCAATAGAAAACGCCATATGGCTACAAGCCAGAGGAACTGCAAGCGCTTACCGAGTACCGTGATCTCGCTCGAAGTAGGCAGCCCGGAGCCAGATGCTTTTCTTTGTGGGAAAGTGGGCAAGAGCAACGGCGTATATGGCTCTGGCACACTCAATAGCTCCATCAGAGGCACAGTTTTCGGCATCCGATAGCCAAGTGTGCTTCTTGTCTTGTTCCTCAAGACCGAAGCCGATTATTGATTTTCTGGAAAAATAGTGAAGAATTTTAACCGGGAACTAATGGTCAAAAGCAACTGGCTGAGAAAAGTACCACAAAAACAAAACATGCAGTTAAACCGAAACTTGGAAACGAAATTGGGAAGCAAGAAGACGGCGACTGAGGAATATTACTAACCAGTTGAGAAATAATGAAGCTGGAATTGGCCAAGAAACCATATAGTGCATACTAGACTGTGGTAAGAAACCGAACTGATGTTCGAAAATGCATGTCTCTCTTGCGCTTAGCGTAGTACATATCGTCACCGTGCGACGTTAATCGAAACTGCGCAGTGCCCGATGGATTATGTGGCAAGGAGAAATCCAGTGAGACAATCGGTTCCGGTTAGAGATCTTGTTTGATATGGAGCGGTCGCAGAGCCGATGGTGTTTCTGTATTCCATTCCTTGCATGCCTGTTAAAAATCTAGAACGACTGAAATCAAACACGTTTATCTAAGTACTCCTTTTTACTTGTGTTCTGCCTGATTTTCCGCGGCACTGCCAATCGGCGATGCAACTGGACCCGCCGCGCTTTGGTGTTAAAGTCGCAGCGTGGCATGGATAAAAAACCGTAGGTCAAATGTGAAGGTAAAAATATCAAAAGTAGCACAGAAGAGAGTCGACACATGCGCGGAAGATTAACCAGACGTGGTTAACACAGCACTTCACTTGGGTAACTGTGATAGAAATGATAGCAGACTCCTGAAAGTTTAGGGCTACTTGGGAAGAACAGGCGATAGTCCGCAGACTGATGATAAACCTGCGACAGTCAAAGGCGTGGACGCCGGAGAAGTATAAGCACCCACGAAGCTGGTATGACAAACCTGTCTAGGGGAACTCACATAATGGATTGAGCAGTGAGGACACTCTTGGCTGCTTCACACTCTTCAGCATCTTTGATCCACTGGTCCCGATTGACTTCGACCATATTGGCTTGCAAAGAGGCAACTCCACGATCTACAATTTTAGGAACCATCGCGTGATTTCCCTGGGCTTCCTCAAGTCTGGCAGCAGCGAACCAAATCTGTCTGTCGGTCGGAATGCTTTCTCGCGCTTTGTTGAGGACGACCCTAGCCTGCTCATAAGTTTCCAGGCGGGCGAGCGCGAGCCACAGTTCAACTGAAGTCGGGCAACATTCTACAGCCAAACTAAGCATCAGTCGGGCGTCCTCTTCGTCCTCTAACTCAACGGCCAGCTTCCACAGACGAACCGAGTTAGGCACTTGCTCCAGAGCTAAGAAAATACATTGCGTGAAATTGTAAGAGATAGTATTCATAAGCCTGAAAGGCAATCACTCATTGAGTGGACCGTGAGAGCAAGGCAGTTGTAAACAGAACATCTTATGTCACTTTAAAGCAATCGCTGTGTGGACAGATTGCGACACGCAATCCCAATGTATAACGCGATTCGAGTAGGTAACACCTAGGGAACGTCCTAATTCAAGGACACGCAAATGAAGGTCCGACCGAAATTATTGAGGACAACAAGCGGGTAAGGTGCAGTTGAGCTGCGATTAGAGACTACTAGAATCGAAATAATCAAAAGACAAATGAGTAGGTCGTAGTTCGGTCGATGGTGAAAGGCAAAAAAATAACAAAAACAACCCACATCAATCAAGTTAAGCTACATTAGTACTGCAGTAAGGAAAGCAAACCAAAAATAAGCATGCCGAAGGAAACGCATACGATGCGGCACAAGAAACAGACAAAATGCAAGGAAATGGTGAAAATTGTGGGTAGAAGAACCACAGAACATTCGCGTGATTGCGATTCCGGGACACAAAACAATGTAGTAAGACTCAAGAAGGGTTCACAACGTAGCGGTAAACTGATAATGTCAGATGACCTTGAAACAAAGTGTGCGTAGTCGAACTAGAGTAATATCGTCGTATACTGCGTGAGAATGCGTGTCAGTCAAATATATAAATTTGTACTTTTATTAACACAAATATCAGGTCTTACACTCAGTTGTCATCCATGATACGATCTGTGACGATGAGCGACCGGCTATTCCTACTAGGTGATTTTAACGTGCGCATTGGGCATGATGCCGCAGCGTGGACAGACGTTACCGAGACGTGTGGTGTTAGCTCAGCCAAGGGGAAAAGTGACCAGCTGCTCTCACTGTGCCAGCGACGTCCTGACGATCGCGAACATCCGGTTTGCGCTGGGTAAAAGTGATGTATTAGGTTGGTAAGAAAATTGTTGTGCTTAGTAATCTTAAACTTCTAATGCACATATCGGCTCCGAATGAACATTTTTACTCGAAATAAAAACCATTTGAAATGACACACTTATGCCAACGGGATACAAGTTTATTTATTCCGGATGACTAGAAATCCAAATTTCTGGAGGCGATAGAATCGTAGAAGGCGGTTTCAGCATTTCCTTAGGTTTTTACACTTTTCTCTCGTAGGAACTTATCCAGGTGCTTGAAAAAGTGGTAATCGGTAAGCTAGAGGTCATGGGAATATGGAGGGTGAGGCGAAGATTCGTAGCCCTGCTCGCGCGGCTTCCGTAGGGTTAGTTGTGTGACATGCGACTGAGCGTTATCATGGAGAAGGATTGGTCCCTTTCTGTTGCCAGTGCCAGGCACCTGTGTTGAAGTTTACGGTTCATTCGGATAATTTGTGGACAATACTTCTCCACTAGTTCACATCTGGTGGGAACACCGCGTGAGCAACGAGCCTGTTCGACGCCTCGTTTACGGCACAGGAAAAGGAAATGAACCGCTCAGCACAGTTATTTCACGCACCAGGCTCCGATGGCTGGGCCACGTGTTACGCATGCCAGCCCACCAACTCCCTCGACGTGCGTTGTTTGCGCGCCGAGGGTTTGGATGGAAGAAGAGGAGGGTTGGCCAAGCGATGACTTGGTCGAGAGGAATGAAGGCTCTCACTTCTGAGGTGGCCTCGGTTGGAGCGTCTCGGCTCCCTGGTTGGGGTCCAAAAGACGATGAACACGTTTGGTTGGACACACTTGCTGATATGGTTAGGAGCCGACCTCAGTGGCGTTCGTGCTGTGAGTTTCTTTGTCCCACTCCATCCCTTTTAGCCACCACCTCCAACCACGATCTCATTATTTAGCCTTATATAATTTCGCATAGTATTTTTTATGCACAGTAGCCGGCTGGTAGCTTACCGGAACGATGCCCATCCGTTACCGGTAGCTCAGCCGGCTTGCGCCAGTTGCATTTTTTTCGCTCCTTTATTCTGTGTATTGTGGCACAGTAGCTGAGGTGTTCCCCACCTCTAGCTAACGTGTATGATGAGGATGATGATGATACTTCTCCACTGTAATCTTTTGGGTTGGATTCAGAAAGCTGTGATGGATCTGACCACCCGCAGACGACGAAACAGTCACCATATACCTTTTATGGGTGCGATTTCAACTTTGGGAGGTGCTGTGGAGCTTGATCGTGTTTCAAGCATTGTGAAGATCATCGTCAATTGTCGTAAAGGAACCATTTTTCAAAGAAGTCACAATTCCTGTAGAGAAACGAGTCGCACCACAAAACGACGTCTTTGATTTTTATTCAATTCGTGCGGCACCCACATAGCACAGAACTGTCACATGCGATACTGCTAAGCCAGCAGCAAGATAGCAGCTTACATGCCACCTCGACTGGTGGTGGCTTGCAAAGGAAGTCGTTGCTCTGTGGGTCAGCATTGTCCACTGCACGTTCATAACATGCAAGACAGGGGAGGATGAGCCGCGTTATATCGCAGTTAGATATCAGTCATGACGATCCGCTGACGTCGCGCATGACTCAGTGACAAAAACCGATGGATCGCAAGTGGAAAGTCATGGGTTCGAATCCTGCAGGATTCGGCAGGTGCGCGCTACTAACGAGTCCCAAAAGGACGAAAAAGCCGTCTTGCGCTTTCCTGGATTTATGGTAATTGTCTGGATGAATCTAACTGCGACGAATGTTCATAAAAACCCAGGAAATCCCCCTACTGCTTAAAAGAGTGGTCCCAGTTTTATCACATAGCAATAAGCTACAGATGGCGCGGATGCGTAACAAAGTGCCGATCATACAGGTGAACTTGTCTGGACTCCGATCACGCACTGGATAGCGCCAAGATTTGTATGCGTTTCGGCGGATCACCCAGACGTATGCACTACTGGCCGAACGTCGAAAATCTGCAACATCTTGCGACGTTAGCCAAGAGCCAGGCTTCTCTGTCAACACTGCTTGTTTCATCCTTTGACATGGTCTGAACACACAGTGGATGCGCAACAAAGTTTCTCTCTGGCTGCTGGGTCTAAGTCAGCGCGCAGGTGGATCTTCAGACCTTTCAGTCTATGAAGACGGGACAATAGTAACTTGGGACTTTCCTCTTCGACAAAAGTCACCCTCATAGGTCGACTTTTGCCCTCGGTTCTCTTTTCTAGACGAGTGATCTGTTTCACTTTGAGCCCGCCGTCATCCACGTCGAGCAGTCTATCAATCATAGATTGCAAAAACTTGACATCATGTTCATAGCGTACCTGAGGATTAGAATCACATGATTCAGGTGTATTAAAGACCATGAGGCTGTGGCGCCTCAGGTCGCTAGACATTGTTCTTGGTTTCTTTGGTGTTTGCATTTTCCATTCGTTATCACCAATTTGATTATTGCAAATTGGAGCTTTAATATCAAGAGAACAAATCACAGGTCTTGAGGGCGAGCCCGCCGGAACGCTAGTACATTGCTTCAATGATGGATCCGATGTTGTACTAGGCGCTGGCTGTGTCTCTGACTGTGGTGTAGGACAAATCGAGCTGGGCGTTTTAGAGCACTTCGCCTTACTGATCCGCTTGTCAGGCTTTTCGGCTCCATTCTGCCCAAGTTTAGACTGGCATAGTTTACAAATGGTCCTCAAAAATCGTGCTGAATCCCTTACATTACTCAAAATTGGTCCACAGATAGACCGATGCACGAAATATGAAACTTTACGCTGCATAAACTGCATTTAAGCGCATTTGCGCGATGTCAAACGACTTTGCGGCAAATACCACAACGCAACTGCTTTGCCATTTCAAATAAAGGTGCCGAGCGATACGAGTAAATCAGCGTAATGTATAAGCACAGACGTTATGATAAATTAGTACGGGTAGTTATGATGCACTAAGGCCAAATAACTAATTTGAGTGAATTACGACAATTAGAGCACAAAACGGCTATAGCAATGAAAAGAACGGGATAAAATGGACTGCGTAGGGCAAGAGTAAAAAGAAGACCAGGAGGGAGGAGAACCAAGGCAGAGTAGAACGAGAGAATTACTGCCAAAAGGTTACAAATGTATGACTAGATAACACAGAATCAAAATAATACCGAATTAAACAACCGACGACAAAAATTACGATTTATGACACACACAAAAATGAAAAAAACTGGCTTGGAAGCAGAGCTTTAAATTTCGAATTTTCAATGATGATGATGATGATGATGATGATTCAACCGTATTAAGCAAACTACAAAACCCTGACTCTTCGTGCTTCCACGATGAGATGTCTGTTACTCGGTTGGGTTTGTTAACTGATTCGGCTACAGGTACAGGAACTATCATGGTTACCAAATGAAAGCACAACCATACACCCTACACGTTACCAACTGCATTCACCAAGGTGCGCTGAACATATGATTTCTTGGTAGCGAACCAGCAGTAAGAAAGTATCGCGTGGGGATTAAAAGCAGAAAAAATGAGGATATTCTAAAAAGTGACTAGACTTGAAAACATCGCCGTTTGTCGGAAGAACTCATACACTATGAATGTACCTTGCTAAGGAGAAAATGTCGACAAGGTTAACCAAAGGAACGAGCATTATAAATAAGCTATGGGGGCAGATTCGGTATGGACAAGGCAAAGATTCCAAAAGAATCACACAAAGTCGAATGAGCAATAAACTATGTAAGCAAGCAACATTGGAGTGAAAGACAAGAAATATAGCAATAGGATTATCGCTCAAAAGGGGCTAAATGTGTTCGCGCAGGAGTTGATGATCCGAATACAAGCGGATCTCCAGCAAGTATGAATTGAAGATAAAACCCCTGTCATTACAATAGATTCCGGGTCATTCTATGAACGGAAACCAAGTAATGGTCCCTACTGGGTAATCGAATCAGATTCTAAATGACCATGAGCGTGATCGATGGATGGCAGTTCAGTAAATTCGTTAAACAAAGCTTATGACTCATGGACCGTAGGAAGTAGGCGAATTTGAGGTAAGTAAATAGATACATGTTAGTTTAGCGAAACAAAAGATATAACACCCGACAGTCCGAAAGTCACCTGCTGACAATTACCTTTTTTGAAAACAATCTTCTTCGCCTTCACTTCGGTTTCAAGTGCAGCAGCCTTAACCCAAAGGCGGACAGCCTGCGGAAGATGCCGGATGCCTTGAGCTACGACAGACTTGGCTTGCTCTGGTTGTACCAAACGAGCAGCCTCTAACCAGATATCCTCCGATTTCGGACACTCGTCGCAACCGTGCAAAATCAAGTTTCGTGCAACCTGTGACAAGGGACCAAGTGGAGAATGAATTTAAGTTTGGGAAGTAGCGGTTCATATCTCTGAATCTAAGTTATGGTAGCAGTTCGTTTAGGAAGAAGTGCCGAAGTCCAATGCAAAGAAAATGGCTTAAATGAGTCGCATAATAAATATGGAAGGAAGTTCGCCAGTAGAACGACCAAGATATAATTCTAACATGCGAGCAGGTTACTAAAGTAAATCATCAGAACCAGAGACGTGCATTGAAGCTGCGGTGCCATTGGACTTTCCAGTTTGACATTTTGATTGTAATTTAAGCCTGCTAGCAGACACTAATCCCCAAGGAAATGCAGAGCTGGATATCGCCCTTGAATGCGTTTGAGACTTAATACCAGATAACAAGCTGCTGACCAGTAGCGAAACATCCGCCATCAAATTACCAAGCACGGAGAGCCGAAACCAATTCAGCTAACAACCGGAACTACAGGTTTCGAGTTCTTGCAAAGTAAACAATACATGTTTTGGATATACATACACTCAAACGAGTTCAAGGAAGAAGTCTTCTTCGGTTGGTTAACCAAACAACTGGACCCATAGACAACGATGGCTCAAGCGCTGAAATAAAAAGGATCCGGCTGTCATGATCCACATATCCAAAGGAATAAGAAAATGGCGGGAAAATGGGGGAGAAAAATACAAACAAACGAGGACAGAGGTTCAACTGTAATAGTTGAACGGAAAGACCACTTCTTTCCTTATGTGAGATTTGCATACATAGATCACTGAACTGGACAAAGTGCTGAGTCACAAAGTCTGGCACATTTGAGGAGTAGCCCACGGGTTGCCACATCAATGAACTGACTTGGGTACGTGATCAATCGGTCCCGGGCATTTCAGCACAGGATGACACTCGACTGTTCAAAACTCAGGTGAAATCTATGGTGTGCTTGGCCTCCTATTAAAAACGTCGGAACAATGAAGACCATGCCTCCGTGGATCTCATAAGTGATCCAACAGTAAAAAAAACAGTGACGACGCGGGGGAATTGAACATCCGCACAAAAACCTAAAGTTTCCTGGTAGTATAAGGTTGCAAGGAACGAAATAGGTAAGGTCCGACTTTAGCAACGAAAGAACTAATCTCTGTATACTCAATGTCTGCATTTGAAATGCAGTGGGTATTCCAACTTGAACGCTGAGTTTATAGTTAACGACGCACACTTCCAGCGGAGCCCAGTGGTCTGACAACCGAAGCGTTAGATATCAACCACTGGGTTCAGGGTCCCAAGCTGAGTGCTGGTCGTCCATATATGAGTATTGCAAACAAAAGCAGAACCCGTCGTGGGGGCCAATATGGAAGAGTTCTTTCATCCTGCTTAATCGTACCACAGTACCTTATAAATTTTTACATTCTGGAGGCGTTTTATCTAATTATCGTTCGGAAGGTTTCACAGGGCAAATATTCGGAAGAAGACTATTTGGTCTCGCCAACATCGATTAAGCACATAACCATTGGGCGCTGAAGTTATCTACAGAAAACTCGGTTTCGTCAAAGTTATCTATGAAGGGAAAGAATTAACAGATCATCCGAATATATGACCTGCGGAAACGGTCTATGGTAACAAATCAGGTTGCGCAACAAGACCAAGGTGATTGATATTATTCAGACTAGGTGCGCAGCCGGATGCATTAGTTCAAACAAGTGTAACAAATATCGTCTGCAGTGGAGGACGGTGAAGTGTGATGAACGCAAAACTCCCCGAACTTTCCCTGTGGCTAGGTTACCAGAGACGTAGGCAGCAATCAAACTTACGACTACGTGCTATGTGGTAATGAATCTATGAAAAGCATCCCCCCGTGATGATCCTACTCGGATCGGCAACAAATAGGCTCAACTGGAAAAACAAACGTAAAACGAAGCAGCTTCTTTAGGAATGTGGTCCCCATATCCGAGTGATCAAGTCAGAAAAACAGAATAGTTGGACGGCAGCACTTTTCGGGGGATCTACATAGAGAACCATCTGCGCACCTTCAGAGTGCAAGGTGCCGTTGGAAAACGGTGAATATGCCGTTGGTTCTTGCTAGCACAAAATAACCAACAGCAATGGTCGAGCAGTCCATTGACCATGGTAGATGTGACATCTCTGATAGTAACATAGCTGAGGCGGTTGCTTCACGTAACCAAAAACCCCATGTGGATTTCCGGAGGCCCAAGCACCTATAAAGACGTATGGATATTAGTTAATCCGTCAAAGGCAGGATGCACAATGCTACAATAGGGACGGAAGCATTGTAGGGATCAGAAGTATGGTTACTTCATGCTGAGGAAATAGAGATATCGAGTCTTTGACAACCGATACTCACAACCGGTTACAGTGCCGAGTGAGTATTGCTTAATCCGTCGGCTGTGAAAAGGCACTTCTGGGTGCCCTAATGAAGAACCTATTAAATTTGAACCACCTACGCTGGCTAGGTAGCATCCTCCGAATGCCCGTTGGTCGTTTGGCTAGGCGCACACCATACACCGTCGTTGGGTGCAATCGCCAGGTTGCCAGTTGATGACGTGGAATCAAGGTAAGAATAAAGTGACCAGGAGGCCTGGTCAATTTGGTGGATGGAGGAGTAGGGATAGGTCCTATCGGACATGGCACAGACAAGGAGGACATGCCTGCATCCGATCTTTTGCATCCAGAAGCCAACATTCCACTGAGAGTAATCTTGAACACACTATTTCCTAACCCGTTTCACCATGTGTTTGATTTGCAACACACCTGATTTCTACTATCACTGTTGAGTATGGCTAACATAGCGAACTATTCTTTGCAATGGCATCCACTGGACCGAACATATGAAAAGGGGTCAAATTGCATTATTCGTATCGTTGGCAATAAGGTGGACTGCTGAGAAATATGTATCACTGCAGATCAGTGACAAGACAAGTAGTTTGGGTGTTGCCATGGGGAACAACTTCAAGCCTATGGCGCAGTGCCGTGCCACGCTGCCACAATGCGTGATAGGAGTTGTTCCGCCTCAGCGAACGGCTGTGTAACCCAAAATCAGAAAGTTCCTTGTCAATGTATAAAGAAGTGGTTAGGATACAGTTGGAATGCTGCGTTCAGACTTAGGTGTCGTGTTTCGGTAACGATAATTGCAGAGGAAAAATGTGACAACTAAGATGACTGAAAGCAAGCGTGGAAAGTTGCATGAAGACAGCTTGAGTAGCCTAGGGTCGTTTTCCTGGAAAGTGCAGACAAAGAAAAGGTCAGGCAGAGATGTCTGAGATCAAGAAAGGCTCCAGTATTATCAGGCCAGTTGATCAGTTTGAATTAGCTGTCGTGCTAACTGCAATGACATCATATGAAGATCACAGGTCAGTGTTTGAGGATGAATATTAGGGAAGCTGAAACAAGCTTTTTCTTCTGATTCAGTAAAATACGACAATGTAATAGTAACCGAAAATGCCTCCACAGAACTCAGCCGGGTCTTTTCCCAGAAGTAGTAGAATTTAGAACTCCTAGCACTGGGAGCTTGTGTAGCAAAACCAGAGACAGATTGCTTTTTCTGTAGATGGAAAGGGAATCAAACCACCGTAGAAGTACCAAGGGATCATACTGTTTGCCGGCGCAAAGAGTAGAACGCTCTTTAGGTGAAAGGCAGTACCCAGCTTGGAATCTAACCTTGCATTGTAGTAAAATATCCAAGCAAAGATAAAAATAATGAAGAAATGTCGCAAAAATGAAAGTGTCCAATGGATAGTCAAATGCCGAACTCAACAAGCAAAGATAAGCACATCAAACGGGTCTGCATTGCAAAAGATAAGGATAGGTAGCAGATTCGCAAATGTATATGCGCTTAGATAAAAGCTTGAAGTATGCTCACCTGCAGTTTGCCTGCAATCTCCTCCAATCGGGCGGAAGCAATCCAAGCGGGCGCGTGTTTCGGATTGGTTTCGCGAACAGATTTTAACAAGAGACGAGCTTTTTTCATGTCATTAATGTCCCCACCATGCTGCGGAATCATTGACTGTAAATCGGTCAAGTAGCCTTTGGGATCCACAACTGTTTGACCAGACACATTGTCAGATACCTAAAGGAGAAAAATTATTCATATAAAATTTATGAAAAAGATCGCATGAAGAAGAAAATGTTGATGGCGAATTCAACTAGAATCCAGCTGAAGTAGTAACGAGAAAACCTATCGTGAACAAACTAGTTAGCTAAAGTGATGCGTCTAGTGGTCCAAGAGGATAATATTAAGCAACCAAAAATGTGTCTCCAAAGGTATACGTCCTGTGGGATTAGAATGGAAACGTTGCTTCACTTTAGAAACCTTGTATGGCTACAGAGAACAGTATCTGCTACCAAAACCGCTACCCCTCCTGCACTAGTTACGTCACATTGACTGGTGACGAAATATTTTCAATCTAGTCGCATAGGTTGACGAGTAACTAATTTACAATAAATGAATAAATCGCCAGCTGTACATCGTGATGGCGTTTCGCTACTGCGCGATCCACAGCAGTCCCGCGTGGGCTGAGTATACCGCGAGAATGCCCACTCCGACGCGGATTCGAACCTGTGACATTATGGTCGCAAATCAGGCGCGCAGACCACTCGGCCACCGGAGTACAGAATTAGAAAGATGGGTATCTAAATGGACCCGAGGAGGAAACACTGCACTTACATATGCAGGTGGCAAAGGAAGGCATCAATAGTATACCGATGTGCCGCAACAAAGCTTCGCCGCAACCTAACTATCATCAGTGTTATGTGGGTTAGGAATAATGCGAGGTCATTCGCACCTACGAAGGCCAGGACCGGGGACCTTTCGGTTGCAAGGCAGAGGCACCTTGCCTTTGATCACCGGTAGAGAAGAAAAGATAGCAAAACAAATGCCATTAAAGGGAACAAGAGGTTGTATGAGAGAGCATAAGTGACGGGAAAACGACTGGGTGATTTGCGACAACGAAGATCTGCTTGGGTCATTGAGGTTAGGGGTGGCAACTGCACCCAGAATAAATCTCATTTAACGGTGACACACAATAACACTAGTTTTCGGCGTCGCTGGCCCCCAGTACTGCTCTACACAATAGTTTTATCCTCCTAGCCTAGGGTTGTCGGCCCGTAGCATAGAGGTAACGAGCTTGTCTCGTAAACTTGCGGCGCGGGTTCGAATCCGCGTAGGGATGAGCGTCCTCGCAGTATACTCAGCCCACGTGCGACTGGTGTTCGTCGTACGGCAGCGAAGCGCCGTAACGGCGAACAGCTGACATATTATTGTTATTGGTATTAGTATTATTATTCGTTTGGACTAGTCAGGAGTAGAAAGTGGGACCTAGTGGTTGAAGCATGGATCCCTAGGCTGTTGGGCGACGTAAGCACCGAATGGCACAGTACGACCGGATTTGTACGGATACTTCGCTGCCATACAATCATGATCACGACAGTGCGGAGCAAGAAAAGGAAGAAAGAGGGCGGATGTGAAGCGTGCCCCGAGCAAACAATTAAGAAGACGGCGCCAACAATCTGGCAACAACGCTTGGTCACAAACGGCTGGATATCCTGCGGAAATAACGCGGGACAGAAAAGAAAGCAACATTGCAGCATACACTGCTCAAGCATAGCCCACCAGCATATATACTTCAAACGGGCAATCCGGAAAAGAAAACAACAGCAAGCAGGACAATGATGCTGACTGTGGGTCACGTCGTCTAAGGTCTCGAGCCAAATAAGGACTACATCATTTAGACCCAGATCTAGAGGATGAAACTGATCGAGCATACCGAGGTAAGTGGTTCGTGGATTAACATCAAGCTGCCAACTTGGCGATTGTCCTTCCGTGGCTCTATGCCGATCTACATCCGGTATGTAAAGAGACTCCACCGGTAAGCGATGACCGAACGTAAGTAACACGTGTCTAAATCAACACGAGAAATTAAGCTCAATTTGTTAATCTTAGGAGTGGAACGGACGACCACCGTCCAGCACTCCCCTGGGGATCTCACCGTTGCGGACACACTAGTGCCGACAAATGTCATGAAGATTTCGTAGGCAATGATGTTCGAAGAAATGAGGGCGCATCTGTCCTTCAGAACGGAGCCAATTCTTACTTTGGTGGAGCCGAGCGACCTTTGCCGTGATCATGTACGTTCTAAATACTGAATACTGGTTCGAGGCAGCGAGTAGAGCTTTCTCTGTGTAGCTGCATCATTCGTCGCTCTTGGACATATACTCCTTATATTCTGTTCCGCTCTGTATATTTTGCGTATGCAAAGTGTTTGTCAAGGAGCTTCTTACATTCCAACACTGAGTTCGCCTCTACTATGTGCTGCGGCAGGTCGTTCCATACATTCTCCACTCTGCGTTCGAAACATAGTTGGTAAGCGACCCGCTTCAAATCCGGTACGACAAGTTTATACCGGTGTCCTCGTGTGCTGCTTGGTGTGCGCAGATGAAGCAGTTGTCTCAACATGGGGTAATCACTCAGATGTAATATCCGGTGCGTCATGATGAGGTCAACCCTCAGACGACGATAACGTAGGGTGTACAGCCCTAGTTTCTAACATCGGTCTTCGTATGGCACACCTCGTAAGTTGGGAATCAGCCTAGTGGCTACATGCTGCACTCGCTCAAGCTTTTCTACCTCGCCCCGGGTGATGGGACAATATGCGTGAAAGCCGTACTCTAGCATTGGTCCTATTATTGAAACGAAGTGGCGAGTTGCAATCTCTTCGGACCAAGTGCTGAAGCTGCGCTTGAGCGCCCGAAGCATCCGAAGGCTGTTTTGGTACAGCTTATTAGTATGGTCCATGGACTTTAGGTTGAATCGTGAGAGCACACCGAGGTCGTGCACCAAAGGCGCGGGATGCAACGGTTGACCAGCCACCGTGTAGGTTCGACAGTGCTCATACTTACTCAGTCACATGAATTGCGACTTGACCGGATTGATCGGAAGGTTGACCTCTGCAGACCACGTTGACAGGCGGTCGAGATCCTGCTGAAGTAAATCACAATCATTTGATTTTCGGAATACTCTCCACACCTTCAATTCATCTGCGAACAGCGCACAAGATGATTGGAGTAGCTGAGGCACATCATTTGCATGGATCAGAAACAAAAATCGGCCCCAGTACAGAGCCTTGGGGCACCGCGCTGCTCTATAGATACCAGTCGGTTAGATGGTTGTCCACCTGGACCCGCCACTTTCGATCAACAAGGAAATTCTTGATCCATTGGTGCAGCGAACCACCAACACCGCACATCCTCAGCCTGTCGACGAGCACTGCATGTTTAAACTTGTCAAAAGCCTTACTGAAGTCAATGTAAATGATGTCGATTGATTATCCTTCGTTCAGCGCTTGTAACCATTCGTGCGTCGTCAACAGTAGGTTGGTGATGCACGAGCGACCTTTCAGGAAACCATGCTGTGCGGAGGTCAACAGGTTTTTCGACTCGAGAAGCTGCAGAAGTCGCTTCTTCACGATTTCCTCGCGCGTTTTTGCCAAAACAGCGGTCAGGCAGATCGGCCGGTAGTTATCCACTTTGCTTGGGTTACCACCATTCGGTATGGGCTTTACGACTGAGCATTTCAAGTCGTCCGCAGATTCGCGAAACCTTCGAAAATAAACTTGATAGTCCTGAACCCGCCGGCGCTAATGCAGTTGCCAAAATAGGTGATTTGATCAAATCTACCGGATCTCATGAAATAAAGAAGCAAGTGGTTGGTGGATTTGCAACGGTGCTGTGTTTTAACAACGAAAAGCTCATCAAAAGGTGGAATCCCTGTAGAGTCAAATCAGTTAGGAGTGCAAAAGAAGAAAACAAAAGCATCGGTAGAACGTCAGGAGATTGTATCGACATCTCGCTACCACGCGACTAACACCAGTTGGCTGCGAGATACGGATACTGCGAGATAACTCGCACCCACCCAGAAGAGTTAAGCGTGACACTTGGTAACCGCCAAAAGAAAGACAGAATCACCCATGTGATTCGCGTCAATCGGTTCCCCGGGCAGTATCTAGATGTTGGTATTCAAAGAAGTCAGAACGGGAGGAGCGAACGGGAGGAAGAGCGATCAAGTCGAACAAGGAGGGAGAAGTGGGACAATCATAGTGAATTTGTTGTGCTGTAGGAAAGACGCATGACAAACAGCTGTAAGTTCTGACGTGACCCAAGGTGTTTCAGTACGCTGCACACAAAAGTTTGACGGTTATCATCAGTGTCCTGTATATTTGTATGCAGCGATCGGCTGAGTCGAATGTGTTAGTGAAACCGAGGGATACAGTGAAAATCGGTTAGTTACATGCGATTAACTGCTCTAATGATTAGTAGAGTAAAAACATTGCCAATGCAAACCTGCCAAACTCGAAAACTTGTCTGCTGCTCTCGTTCGGGATTTCCGAAAGGCGATAATGTAGATTTGAGAAAACTAGCGTTTTCACCTACGGCACCAATCTTGTCCCATGATGGCTAGAACATATTTTGCAAACGTCTTTCTAACATAACGTAATGACCGATCTGCTCCAACTGACAGGCAGAATATCGTCCTATCACAACCGTTCACAAAGGACTCATTTGCTTCCTGACAACAAGAATGATGCCTATGCGGAAAAATCAATGAAAAGACACCGAGACTGCTTCACGAAACTACACACAAACAAAAGTTCGGAGGAGTCAGGAGTAGACTGGAGTTTAACAAGTGTGATCACATCCAATAGACACTTAACTCGAGAGTGAATATAATGGCGTGCTTGTTCAAAAATGGATAAGATGTAGCGGATTCAAATCGGAAGGAACAGCACTCCAAAGTACCTGGGTAAGTTTGATATCCATCAGGGATGTGCGCGCCTCCCCAATCTTCTTCATGTCTATGTCCACTTGCTGCGTTTGAGTGCCGTAGGGAGTTGTGAGCCCACCGAAAAGCTGCTCTCTCTGATTCACGGCAGTTGTGGTCTATGGAAAGAAAACGGAAAATGTGAAAAGCGCATGAAACAAAGTAGGCCCAATCACGCAACTGATGAATCGCTATGGATGAGGCCTAGTTAAAAGTTGGATAGCAATCTACGCAACAAGCAAGTGTTGCCGAAATGTGAAGAAAAATACATTTATGGATGGGCTAAGGCCGCATAGAGATGAGCTAATTTTTGCGACTATCCTGCTACGTATGAGCTTTGCAAGTAGAATACACTGTAAAGATGAGTGAGGAAACGCGGCGGCATGGTTATGACGCGAAAACGCACAGAAGGCAAGCTTCGTGCAAATATGAAATGTGTTGAAGGGTAACTTCGCCGAGAAAATCAAGAGGAACCCAGAAAGCAAACGCTTGTGGAAATCCGCACCATATGAGGCACTCAGCTGGGTAACTGGAAAACCATACTAGCCAGACGGTCCGAACTCAACTCGGGATCAGAAACAATCTTTGCGGAAAAAGAATGTGTAGTTAAAACAAAATTGAGCCATATAACGCAGTACTCATCCGCTGGGATTGTTAGTACTGGAAACCCTGACTACACTGACAATGCGCTTTAGAAACAAGGAAAGAGCAAGATAAGAGGTCGCAGATGTATAAAGTCGCTGCTAAAAATTTAAGACATTTATCACCAGCTGAAGGTTGACGAGCGATGGATATGAGCCAAACAGTCCATCACTTCTTGTAGCGTAGTTATCCACAGCTTATGTCCATGTGGAGAAGCACGAGTCATAAGGAGTGCAACGGAGGAATTCTTGGTGCACGAAAACGAAGGTCAACAAACGAGCATGACACAAACCAGAGAAACTTCAACGGTTATATAATCGGGGCAATCCACTGTTATAGATAGAGAACTAGTTAGGATTTAGTGGTAATTTGGAATAGTATGAGCAACACTGAGAAACAACGCTAGCAAAGTCCTGCAAATGAGAACAAATTCCTGGGATTTCGTTTGGGATTTTATTGTTGATTTCGGTACCAGATCGACACAAGGTTGCAGTGCGTAGTGTGGCAACATGGATAGATACAGCGTGTAAATTGTGGACGTCTGCATCAGTCCACAATTCCAACAACGGCAACAGCAGCAACAAGCACTATAGTAGATCAAGCATTCGGATTGATGCTTCACTGCTGCACAACCACAATGTTGTAAGGAATAAAGAATAATAAGTGGATCATGTCCTGTAAAATTGTGAGTAGGTTAGAGTTCGGAGCGTGTCGTCGAATCGGATTCATGTAGAAGGTGGAGTTCCACAAGGATCAGTGATGGGGAGCATCTGTTCCTCGTGTTCATTAACAAGCCTATGCGTCTGATCGCCGAGGATTTCTTGCTTTTCGTTGATAATGTTAAGATGTGGCGAACGATCGCCAACCAAGATCGCGATTCACTTCAACGACACCTGGACAGAACGTATGGATGATTGTTCCAAAACTTGCTCCAGTTTAATTCGTCTAAACATAAGGTGATCAACATTCGTCATCAACATCAAATACGAGCTTGGAGATCATGTGATGCAGTCAAGCACATAGGAGTGCGAGTTTCGTCAATTAATCCAGACTGATGGTGGCCTACTCAGAACAATCTGAGAAGGCATGGTAGACTGGGAACAAACACATTGGTATGCTGCGGAGGGCATCCGGGCGGTATGATCCATGAGTGCAGTCTCATGTGGAATACGCTATCCAGGCCTGGCAGCCTTGGCACAAGCGAGATCTCGCAGCGCTCGAGACTGCACAGTGAACAGCTAGCAAGTACATCAAAGGATTGTTGCACCTTCCATATTAACTTAGGCCGAGAAGCATAAAACGGTCAGCGTTGGCGCCTACGTGGAGACCTAGTAATGACATACTAGATTCAGAGGAATCACAACCATATTTGCCGCCACCAAATGTAACTCACAACATGAATTTAAGGGGCCACTAGTTCAAGTTGGCCACGCAATACAGCTGGCTAGAATGTCGTCTAAACTTGTGCTCTCTTCATGTTTACCAGCCATGGAATGCCTTCCCTAATTACGTTATTTCCGCAATCACAGTATCTGCGTTTAAAAACTCCGTGACGTTGCCCCGTAATTACAAGATATATAGCTTGTGCACATCGAGAGACGATATGTGACAAACGGTGCTCCAACTAGCATCCCTCCACACAATCGAGGTATACCCATTTGACGCAAGCCTCTTTGTCAACATCGGTGAGCCAACAAGAAACGCCTTTCATTATATCGTCATGTTTTTTTCGCCATTTCGTGGTTCTCGTTTTGGCCATCCAATGGGAATTGTCAATTTCTTGCATTTTATCTGTAACACACCATTGTTCCATTGTAGAAAGTAAATCAAGTGGACTCCAAGCTAGGAAGTGAGATAGATATACAAAACTGGCCAGTTTTGTAGTCAGCAACTTTATTTCCCACTGCCAAGTCAACTTATGTTCGTCAACCCACAGCTGGGAGAAGTTTTAAGGGGATGGAAATGATCCTGAGTTGTCAGCAAGCGATAAATCAGAAACGCACTCAAGGACACGAAGCTAGGAAGTACGACTGTAACGTGGAAATTCAGTTTGGAGGACAGGTTCGGGGTAGTCTGAGTGATCCACTCACTATACAACAGACCAACGACCCAACAATAAAGGAAATCGCCCGACTTGGACACTCTGAGCTACCGGTTTGGTGCTAGAAAAAAGCAGACACATGGACTACGGCCGGTAAGACACAGCTGAAAGGAATCGATTTCGTAAAAGATTATGAGTAGCAAATTCACAATGAGAAACGAAGAGAACACTGACAGTTGCGGTACTACCAGGACAGACAGGCGAAAGTGATGTAAATACAAAAAACAGAGTATGAACGTATTGGTGTTATAGGAACACTGGAGAAAATCATAGAACACAAATGGGCGCAAGCAGTGGTGACAGGCATACCGTACTAAGACCAGGTGACTGGTAAAACAGCTGTGGAGAGGAATAGAAGGGCGTGCTGAGTAATGACCAATGGTTGAAATAAGGCATGACTAAACTAGAGATCTTCAGGTTTCCGGAGCACATTACGAACCTTTCTGTGCGTTTCCGTCGACAAAATAAATGGTACAGTAGGACAAAAAAGATATTTAAGGCATTTGGTACCCTAGAGAAATTTGAAAAGCACGGAAAGAAAACGAACAATGGTAGATACATGCGTTACGTATTGTCTCTACAGTACCATTGACGGTACTGTAGAGACAATACTATATGCATACATCTACGAGTGTTCGTCTTCTTTCCGCGCTTTTCAAAATAGATATTAGCCAGTAATGGCACCTATACAGCTGGCCTAGTGATTCACTGAACAACTAGGTTTGCGATTTACTGAAGATGTCTTGAATTAAGCAACAGAAAGCTGTCTTTGAGCCCTGTGGTCTACGGAAAAAACCTGGCTCAGCTGCAAAAGCGTAGATTTAGGTGAAAGCCGGTAAAAGAGTGCAGGTAATCAAATGAGAACATAAGAACGTTACTCTCTTACAACCGACCTGTCCTTCCGCCAATCCCTTTGCGATTACACTGTCAGGAACGGGAGTGAAACGCTCATAGCGGGGGTTGCGCTGTTTGCGATTTCGTGCGTCTCCAACTTCAGGTAAGGCATTCCATTCGCTCTCGGTAACGTTTGCCAGATCGCGTTTCAAATCCATAAACTGTTGCTGGATTTTCGGTCGTTCACGACGGTAGCGCTCAATTTCCTCCTTGTATCGCTTTTCGCGATACTCGCGGCGTCTTTCGTCCATGCGATCGTCGATTGAGGCATAAATGGCATCCGCTTCCTGGTCATCTTTCTCATATGGATCCTTGGAACAGAGACTACCGCCGTAACCGGTGAACTTGAATATACAAAGATATATAGTAGTGCAGGCTGGACGTTGAAAACAGTTGATAAGGAAAATGGCAATTACTACGGAGGATATATACAATATTATAGGTCTACTCTGAGGAAACAATGCGTGTACACGAGAATCACCATAAAGCAGAACACGTGAAATTTCGTCGTAGTGTGTGAAGACTGTGATTAATCTGAGAGATTGCAAAGTATGTCGAAACGCTTCAAGTTTGAGGTCATCAACAGATGAATAAAAGAATGCAGCAAAGCGAAAGCGGTACAACACATATTGAGTACGAGTTGCATTCGGCGGATTCGGAGGTGCACACGAAGGCGTCTCTTAGGGAACAAGGTATGCTGCAACTATAATGTGGTAAACAATGGGCTTTAGCTCAAAGACGGTGTTTGTGTAAAAGTCCGAAATAATGAGACCAACGAGGTGCAGAAGCCTTTGGACCTACTGTAGCTTCAATGTTTGTAAGAGAATAATCATGCAAGTGAATGGGTGGATGCCATGTAGCTACATTCGTAGATAAAGTTAGCATCGGTCGGTGGCCGAGTGGTATGCACACCTGGCTTGTAATCATACGGTCACCAGTCCGAATCCGTTTAGGGGCGGATGCACTCATGGTATACTCAGTCCACCCGCGACCGGTGGTGGTCACGCGGCAGCAAAGCGCCGTTACGGCATACAGCTGACACATTATTATTTCATTAGATAAGTAAGCGGTTGAACAGCCAAACACCGAATAGCTAAGGTACGAATAGGACGGAACCTGGGAACAGGCTCCCGATAGAACAAGTCCCCAGGTGAGGCATACCAGTTGCCCTCTGTTCTAGTGGTTCAGTTCGGGGCTCCTCATTAGTTAACTGGATCAGGAGACAACAATACGGCAATTTATTGATGAACTATCCAATCTTTTGTCATCGACCAAAGAGTTAAGTGAGTCAAATTCCGACTGGAATTGTCTCATATGTAACACTGGAGGTGATCTGATGCCGTTTACCGAATCAATCTGAGACAGCCAAATTAGGAATAGGTTCTTGAAACCTCGATTTGTTCAACAGATGCATACAAGTCGGCTCCGCTGGGTATTCAGTTTCAGTGCATTACTGGGAGCCTTAAAATTGACTAAAAGCTTTAATGGACCGTAAGCATCCGAGAACTAAGGAGCCAGTGAGAACAGAAACAGCCAGTAATGTTTCAGCTCATTTGGAGCACGGGTCCAAAGTTTCCCCCCAGTGAAACTGATAAGGATCGGTAGGCGATTTACTCTCAAGCATCTCAACTACACCGTTGGGCGAGGCATTTCGAAGAGTAGCTCAGTAGGCGCGCTGTGGCACAATGGTTTGTGAAACAGAACCAGCGTAAGGCAATGCCACTCCTAACACTGGAAGAGATTAGACATGAACTGGATTGTTGAACTGAAAGTAAATCCTTGGAAGGGACGAACCACTTTTGCTGAAAAAAGTAGTTGACTTATAGGTGGCTAGTGTACTGATAATCCAACACCGTCTGAGACGCTGAAGTTCAGTTTCTTTCTTCATTTTGAACAACTAGTATACGAACAATGAAGTGCGGTGGATCTAGTTCTCACAATTCACGTCGCAAAAAAAACAGAAGTATACAGAATGCAACCGAAAAGTGATTAAGAAATAATAGTAGATTAACAGTTACATGCAAGGAACCGAATGCAGGAACGCTTCTGACTGCGCGACTGCGTCACTTCTGACAGGGTCTCCAACCCGGGGTCCCCATACACGAAAACGGTACTCACTCTCTCAGTCAAGTACTTCATGTCATCGACCGGCCCCCTTACGAATAAACGCAAATTAATGCAGTGACGGCTTATAATGCATACCGAGAAAGGAGGTCGACGGGCATATAGAGAACATGAGGTAGGCAACGCTAGGGAATCAGCAGACGTTCTAGTGAAGCACCAGACGGCATGTTGCCTAATATCAACTGACGGACGTCAATAACGTTCATCCGGTATTCCCACTAGACGTGAGCAACACTCCACAAGCACCGATAATCAAACGCGTTCAATCGTTTAATGTCTTCACGGTGAAATGGTCAAGTCTCTGACCCATGGAGTAAGTTTTCAACAATAGGCTGATAGTTCGCCATCTACAATACATGGTAAAGCTTCTAAAAAGCTAAACTGGTCTTTTCGATACGTGAATTAACCGCCACAGTGATGCGACCACTGGAGGTGAGATTACGACCAAGTTAAAGGAACACAGGCAGCAATTCAGCGGTACCTAGACCAGGTAGCGCATCGGTCCAGTCATACAACAATACTTTGCGCTACGCGTCAGTGTAATCAGCGGTGTTGGCAGACCCGCTGCTCAGACCCGAGGAAGGCTGTCGACCGCATAATCAAGGCTAATCAGTTGGTCATACAGCAGTAGTTCTATACCGGAAGAGTCTGAAAGAACGGAGTCATTTCGATCATACAGTTGAAGAAAGGAGATATAGGACAACTCAGGTGAACCCTAGTTGTCTTGGGAAACGCAGGAGACAGCTTCGCGTAGACCGTTACTCTGCTGGAGAGTCATAGCAGAGGAACTACAGAATGTAAAGTGCTTTAGGCAATCCACTCACGGATACGTAGTGTCACATGTTAGCACGATCAACAGAGTTGTAGGCGGCTTCCGGGTCAAGGTAAACCACCATAGTCGGTCGGCTGTAAGTGTGTATCCGCTCTAACACGAGGAAAGATACATATGTGGTCTATGCAACCACGACCAGGGTAGAAACCACCTTGGCTTCCAGTGATTCATTCTCAGGAGAAACAGTAAATCCTTGTAGAATGATATCGGTGTGAAAATTAGGGGTAATGGAAAGATCAGTGCCTCGACGGTTTTCGCGAAATCATTTGACCAACTCGAAAGATAAGCACGACAGCTGGCAATCGCCAGTCTGAAGCCACCTCATTAGTGTCCCCAACAGTGTTAGAACGAGCAGCAAGTAAAGTTAACAGAGTCGCCATCTTTCAGCAAAGATGAACGTCATCGTATACAACAGACCTGCTTTGTTTCAACAAGACAAGCTCATGCAGAATCTCTTCCACAGGGGGCGACATAGTCTGTCTACGTCGACTACGGGGATTCAACGAACGATAATGTCCTCGCAGGATGGTTAAACTGAACTTCGAAATGGTCCGTTCAACGGGTGATTCGATGCGGTTGTGAATGGATCAACTGTCCATCTTTCACAGCTACTGTCGCACTAACTGATGACTTTCTCAGACCCGTGTTCCGGATGAACTCGAAAGATACTCGATCATTCCCAATAGCACTGGTGATCTTCATCCCACGAACCCTTGCCACCCACTAGCGTTTCAGATCAATTCGAAAAAAAGTTGTTAGTCACCGGTTCAGGACGTAACAGACACACTGAAGCTCAGTGCCCATTGGAACATATTCCCGTCCTTCCAAGAAACTGAGCGATGTCTCAGAGATCCATAAACAGTTTAAACGTTTCTAGTTTGGCGTACAAGCGTCAAAGACATTTTTTGTGGTAAATTTAAGACAATTCCAGTAACCGCTAGACTAACTAACCTCATTCATTACTGATAATTGGTGGGTCAGTTCATCATAATGT